TTTAAAAAGCCTTTTTCCAAAAGGTACATCTGGAAAAGGGGGGGTCGTCTTATAATCAGGGTCGACTTATATTCGGGCCAATACGGTATTTTATCACAAATAAATCTTTCAATGAGTAAAACTGGCTGTGTCTATAGTATTATAGATTACACAACATTATAATATTATATTCAAATTAATTTTTAAATGATTATTATTTTAAATGATTGTCTCCGGATTAGTAGAGTAATCTTCTAATAGAGTAGCAGTGGCTGGGACAGATTTTAAATATCAGTTCCTCTTAAAAAGATGCAATCTAATCTTGTTTACATGAAATAAGCTGCTCCCGAGCAGGGGCCCGTTCTTCGTACGTGGCTAACTCAGTTAGCTGGATTTGATTGTTGACGATTTGGCGTGATCTTGGATTATTTGGTTCTTCGAAGCTCATCCCGGAGTTGCTGTCATAGCAACAGGTCCATAAGCTTAAACCTGCTCGGGAGCAGCTTATTTCATGTAAACAGGATTAGATTGCATCTTTTTAAGCAGAATTGATACTTAAAATCTGTCCGCTACCACCGCTACTTTATTACAAGAGTAGGCCTACCCTACTAATCTAGGGCCAATAATCTAAAATAATGATCATTTAAAAAGAATTTAAAGATAATATAATAATGTTGTGCAGTCTTTAATACTATAGACACAGCCAGTTTTACTCATTGAAAGATTTATTCGTCATAAAATTATTACTTCATAATTGTATTAGAGTCTTACACACATGCTGTACAGTTAATCTGAGTCGTGCATTAATTTGAGTGCTGACAGATATTATGGGAGTGGCTTGATGGCGCGCAGGAGATGCAGATAACATGATCTTGACCCTTAAGAAACTTTATTGCTGTCACATATCAAATCTGTTCAAATATAAAATTAAATGAATTGCTAATTACTACACTGAAATAAAAATGTAAAGCCTGTACAAATATTACAAATCGTGAATATAAATAATTGAGAAACATGTAAAAAAAAAAAAAACAGTGCACATTTCATTTATCTATTAAAACATTTTTGTAGTTTTGTTCGCTTGGCTGTTTCCTTATCAAAGTCCAAAAATGTATCAAGTTTTTCGTCAGGTGTCTATTTTAATGATATGTTGCTGTCTTGCCGCCAGCCAATCGCTGCATTGCTGATCGTGGTTTCGAGTATCGATACATAGCCCCTTTTAAACCAACCCATGAACACGCATTTATCTCAGATAACTCAATCTAGCCATACTAATCATCAACGACAGGTGCGTTTGAAGAACCGAATTAGCCAGATCCTGATTAGCGCGATGATATCATCTTGGATGTGACATTTCATCTCGGATGTAATAAGCGACGTACGAAGAACGGGCCCCAGGTTTAAGCTTACGGACCTGTTGCTATGACAGCAAGTCCAGGATTAGCTTCGAAGAACCAAATAATCCAATATCATGCCAAATCGTCAACAATCAAATCCCGCTAACTGAGTTAGCGGCGTACGAAGAACGGGCCCCAGAAGACAAACAAAAAAAACTAAACGAACACAAAACAGAAGACAAACAGAACAGAACAAAAAACAGAACAGAACAGAAAACAAAACACAAAACAGAACAGAACACAAAAGGAAAAAAACTAAACACAAAACAGATCAAAACGAAACAAAACTGAACACAAAACAGAACAGAACAATGTTTGTGGCAACACTGATAAAGCAACCAGTGCATTGAATGCCATCGATCTACTGAACAAGACAAAATCAGCAATCTACCATTTCATTTCATCAAACTCAGACTGACGCAAAGGTCATAAAAGGTCAAAGTAAAGCGTGGAATGTTATCAGCATTGCAATGAATAGGGCACAATACATATATCCCATTTATACAGCTCACAGAGCATATAGCTTTTCAAAAAATGATTGGTTTTATCATTGTTATTGTGGACATATAAACCCTGATGAACGCCTCAACCAGAAACAACCTGAAATTTACAGCACAAATACTACAGAACATAATCACTGCATGGTTAAAGAAGTTTGCTTGGGGAAGAAATGGGAATAAAATGGCAGTCCATCATCAGTATTATTGACTAGCACACTCTATTCACCCGCTCGATGGGTGTCAATATAGAAATGGGATCTCGAAATGAAAGAATGGTTGATTTAATGCGTTCTGGTAGCTAAAGAAATTGCATGCATAGATTCATACGGATGCAGAACCGCTGTCATGCTGCCTGATGTCCATTATATGTGCCTTCTTTCGTAGAGAGTCATTAGAAGAATGACCAGAGTTGAGTTGAATTTAAATTCTGTCCGGCTAATGCATTGAATTCAAGTTTCAGACTGATTTTTATAATCAAAAGTCAGAAATAATAAAGCCCGGGCATATAAAAGAACACACTGTGTTTTGTTTAAAAGAGGTGAATCTCACAAAATCTGTCCAGTGTTATTTCAGGATTATAGTAGTGAAATATTTATTAATATTTTGAATTACTTTTTTATTTTAGTAAGTTTTATTAATTTTGTTACATGCGTTTTAAACATTTGTATTATTCTTTTATATTTCAATTTAGATTTTTTTTTATATGCATTTAATAATCTAAGTACGTAGCGCTTACTATAGTTAAACATATATTTTATATTTATTAATATTTTGAATCAGCTTTTATGTTTAATTTTAGTTAATGCTTTTGTCATTTTTTATATTTCTGTTTAGCTTTATTTTTATTTGAGTAATTTTAGTACTTAGTTAATCTTTAAGAATGCGATTCGCTATTAAAGAAGAATTCCTCAATATTATTTTAGTATTACAGTAGTATATTTATTAATATTTTGAATCAGCTTTTATTTTTAGTAATTTTATTACATGCTTTTGTCATTTCTATTATATATTTTTAAATATTTCTGTTTAGCTTTCATTTATTTTGATTAATTTTTCAGTAATTTTAGTACTTTTTCAGTACTAAATTCAGTTTTTTATTTTCATTTAATTTTTTCATTTTGTTTCAGTTCAGTTCAAGCTTTGTTTCACTCAAAGTGTAATATATTTCTTACTTGATTTCAATTAATATTTCAGTCCAAAACCACTAGTAAGAAAAAAGATCATTATAATGAAATATAAATCTATTTTGCTCTCTTAAAGAGCAAGTGTTTTCCAGCGTTTCTGAATTGTTCTGTGGATTTCTCCGCTTTATGAGGGAGTTTCCACAGATGGCAGATTTGACGACACTCCTGATATTTCTTTATAGCCCTCGGAGTCTGTGTTAAGCAACAAAACACAAAGTAATGAGCTCTGGATATGAGGAGGAGGAGCAGAGCGGAATGAGTAGATTTAGTAGAGACGAAGGCCTGATGTGGTCAGTTAGTTGTGATGATGTTTAGATGAGCAGCTATCGCTTCATTCATCTATTCATTCTGTGCCACTTTTACAAACACAGACACACAAAACTCAACGTACAGTCCTGCCATTCAACCAAAATAACCAATCACATTACTGGTAAAGACATCACATCATATACAACCCTACATCCACCAAAAATCACTTCACAAATCACAGTAAACTGAAGATGCACATGCAAAAGCTTTACTTTCCTCCCAATATCCTGCCTGAAATGCCATATATGGAACGTACAATCCCCTTTAATTATGCAACGCGTCATCTGCATATCATTTGCATATGCATATTGCCATCCTGGTGATCACATTTTTATTTTTATTTTTGGTTCAAGAAACTATGAGAAAATACAGACTAAACACTATATTCTTAATCAGTATTTAGTTTTTTTTACTGTAAATGTATAGAAAATGTATATAATATAAATAAAATATTAAAAAATATATATTATTAAATATTATAAATATATAAATATAAATATTTAATACATAATAAATAAAAATAAATATTTATATAAAATATTAACAATTATGTACATGAACTGAGCTAAAGACATCAAATTTATGATACATTCTAAAATCAGGTTATATATATATTTTTTTATTTACATATATAATTTACATTTTATATTTTAATAATATACTAATAAATATAATATTTATTATTTTATAAAATTAATTATAATAAATAATAAATAAAATACATATTTATTTAAAATATAAACAATTATGTACATTATAAATTTGAGCTAAATTTGAAGTTGACAAAGAGTTTTGGACATTTTGCTTGTTCCCAATTCAAGTCAACAGAGAGTACTTTAATAGAAAATAGACACACTAATTCTACTGTTTTACTAATAAATAAAAACCCATAGTGCACACACAAATATTGTAGAGCTTAATTAAACTGATATTTGTATTGATAATCCTCAGTAATGAAAAAATAATATTCATAATTAGACACTTCCCTCGACTTCATCTGCCATTTAAGATCTTGAGCTCATTGCAGTGCATTCTGGGATTGCCTCATCCACAAACTGCTGTCTTATAAGGCCATGTAATTAGTTTGGAGCAGTCTTGACGCCTGGCAGTGCTGTCTATTGGTGCTTTTCCACTGCATGGTACGGCACGGTACGGCTCGGTACGGTTCACTTTTGGGGGGTTTTCCACTGGGTACAGTACCTGGTACTTTTTTTAGTACCACTTCGGTTGGGGTTCCAAGTGAACCGTACCGTTACCAAAACGTGACGTGTAAACTCTGCTGATCACGGATTGGCCGGAGAGAATCGTCACTACCTGCGTCACTGAACTTGCGACACAAACAAAAAAGAACCGCTAGATTTAAATCAGACGTTCCTCTCGTTGCTAGCAGAGAAGCGGATCCAGCGAGAGCTTGATGGCGCGACGCGGAATGAAAAAGGTTTTTTTAGGAGTCGTGGTAGTAGAGGCGGCGCTACTATAACCACATGTGAATAATCCAAAAAATCCTGAACTGCAGTGGAAACGCAAACCGTGCCGAGCTGAACCGTGTCGTGCCGTACTGAGCCGTGCCGTGCCGAGTCGTACCACGCAGTGGAAAAGCGCCATATGTAGGGCAGAAGCGTGGGACTCACCGAGGGCATCTGGCTGGATAGCAGGTGTCCGTCCTGGGCGAGCATGTTGGACATCATGAGGGCAGGCAGCTCGGGGTACGAGTACGGGTTGATCAGGCCGTTGTGAGGGATGGAGTGACACAGGTAGCCGGACTCGGGGTCCATCAGGTGCAGCAGCGGCGGCTCGGGGTGATTCGGTGGGGTTATAGGAGGGATCTCGTAGTCCTCGTCTCCCCCTCCTCCGCCGTTCCCACTGCCCCCTCCCTGTCCTGAGTAATTCTGCTGCGGAGAGGAAAGAAAATCACTTTAAAAACAAAATTGTGAGTGGCGTCTTCTTGCCAAAATAAACACCATCACTGAAAAAAAAAAATAAAAAAAAAATAATGATAATACAATTTTAATAAATAAATAAAACAACTTAAATAAAATAAAATACTTGTTTAAATAAAAAAATAAATATAAAATACAACTTATATAAAAAAATAAATAACAACTTATGTTCAAATAAAATAAATCAAATAATAATAATACTTATGTTTAAATAAAATAAAGTAAAATAAAGCAATAAGCCCCAAGAAGCCGTGGTTCACAGTGAATTTATAACAGCTAAGGGGCGTTATTAGATACGAAGCGGAGTGACTAAAACCCCCTTAGCTGTTATAAATTCACTGTAAACCACGGCTTCACAGGGCTTACTGCTTTTATAAAACGATTATTCCATATACGTTGTAAGGTTTCACAAAATAAAATGAATAAAATGTAAGGATATTAATAAAAACAGTATTCTTCCGCCAAACAACGTAGTACTTTAGAAACGGTTGTGTTTGCAACAAAGCATCTCACATCTTCTGAGGAGCGTTATTTCTTCAGCTCTCAATCACTGCATTATATGTTTGGAGCATTTCAATCTCATCTCACTGAGACAGATTACTGGAGATATCGAGCGGCGACTGATATTTAGATCATTTTATGTAAGTATCTGCTCTACTGTTATAAAGATCTTACTGATTTGCATTACAAGCATCAGAATTTCATCATAGAAGTATCAACATCTTCAGCAAATTGCATATAATTTGAGTCTCTGAATAAAATACAGCTGTTTTTTCCTCCATATTCTCACTGTATCAGACTATTTTTTATATATATATTTTGATTAACACTTATCTAAAAAATAGATTTTTCTGGTTTAAAATACCACAATATTGCCATGGTACACATAAAAAATACCATAGTAAATGTCCAAACTACCATGGTGATACCACGGTATATATGGTATAAGTTCAAAATACCACAGTAATACCACGGCACGGGTCAAAAATACCATGGTAATACCATGCTATACATGGTATATGTCCAAAATACCAGACAAATACCATAGTTTATGACCAAAATCCCATGGTATACATGTTACACGTCCAAATCACCCCCATAATACTATGGTATGCACAAAAATTATATGGTAATACCATGGTATATGTCCAAAATAGTAGTGCCATGGTAAATGCCCAAAATAACACAGTAATACCATGGTACAGATCAGAAATACTATGAGAATACCATGCTATACGTCCAAAATACTAAGTATGTAAGTTTCATGTAAGTATCAGAAGTTTCTCCAGAAATTTCTTTTTCTGAGGAGAACAATCTGACTGAATATTTGTTCTCATTTTCGGTTAAAGACACAACTGAGATATGAAAGATGAGCAGATATTCAGCGTAAGCTCGTGTTGTTGGTCTTTCGGCGTCCAGAGATCGCAGTAAACGCCCTGCGATGTGATTTGCTCGGACACGTGGTCGTGCTGGATATTAATCTTCCATATAGTTCTGCAGCCCTTTGAAGACAGATGTCTCTGTAGGCTCCGGGGCCTCCCTGTTATTGTCCGCTCTAATGGATGTGAAAATGAACATTTCCTGAGATTCAATTTCCCTCATAATTGTTGGAAGGAAGCTAAATTGTGTGTTGTAAACAGTGGAGCGAGCGACTATTGTGTGAAGAGAGACTGTCGTCGAGTCCTCAGGAGAATTCTGCTTCAGCAAGAATTACACATTCACCTCTTTAAAAGTGAGATGAGATGAAGCTCTGCAGATACGCTCCAGTGTCAGCAGATCACACACACACACTCACTCTCTCACACACACACACACACACACACACACACACACACACACTCTCTCTCTCTCTCTCTCTCTCTCACACACACACACACACACACACACACACACACACACACACACACACTCTCTCTCTCTCTCTCTCTCTCTCACACACACACACACACACACACACACACCCAGAGTCAAAGCTGGAGAAATAAATAACACAACACTGTGATATTTACTGTGCGCAACCTTTCAAAAACATACTGTGGTGGTACCATGAAACTCACGCACTTCATGATACTTCAAGGTCCATTTGCAAAAATACCATGGTGCTACCAAAATACTCATCCATACCACAGTAATACCATGCTACACGTCCAAAATACTACCGTAATACTATATAAATGTAAAAAATACCACAATAATACTATGGAACACATCTAAAATACCATGTTAATACCATGGTACACGTCCAAAATACCATTGTAGTACCACATAAATGTCCAAAATACCACATTAATACTATGGTACACATCTAAAATACCACTGTACATGTCCAAAATACTATGTCAATATCATGGTACACATCCAAAATACCATCGTAGTACCATATAAATGTCCAAAATACCACATTAATACTATGGTACACAGCTAAAATACCACTGTACATGTCCAAATACTATGTCGATATCATGGTACATGTCCAAAAGACCATCGTAGTGCTACATAAATGTCCAATATACCACAGTAATATTATGGTACACATCTAAAATACTATGGTAATACCACTGTATATATCTAAAATATCACAGCAATACCACAGTACGCATCAAAAATACCATGGAAATACCAAGGCATACGTGTGCAAAAGATAATACATATAAAATACCATGGTAAATGTCTAAATGACCATAGTAATACCATGGTACACATAAAAAAATGCCACGGTAAATCTCCAAAGTACCACAGTAATACCATGGTATACATGGTGTAAGTCAAAAATACAACTGTTAAACAAAAATACCATGTTAATACCATTACACGTGTAATATCATGGTATTTGTCCACAATACCATGGTATACATGGTATACGTTCAAATTGCCCCCTAATACCATGGTACACCTTAAAATGTCATGGTGTGTTCAAAACACAATGGTAACACCATGTCCAAAATAGTAGTACTATGCCCAAAATACCACAGTAATACCATGGTACATGTCAGAAATAGGGAATTCCATGATATACATGGTATATGTCCAAAATATCACACTAATAACACGGTACAGGTCAAAAATACCATGGTAATACCATGCTATACATGGTATATGTCCAAAATACCACCATGATACCATGGAATATGTCCAAAATACCACAGTAATACCACAGTAGTGCCATGGTACTTGCAAAAAACACCACGGTAATACCATGGTATACCTCCAAAATACCACGATAGTTCAACTGTATTTTCTGGAACTTTGTTTTGTAAGTCTACCACATTCATACACTTAAAAGAGTACCACATGGTATTACCCTGGTGCTTCAGACATGGTACCGTGGTACATTTCTGTAAGAAAGATGCAGGACTGTAAATGTGGAATCTGCTGTAATGTGTTGAGATCTGAAGTTGAAAGTCCATTAGCTGAAGCTCCATTCAGACTGCGGCTGACTCATCACACATCTCCCGCGCATGAAGGGCCGTTCATCAAATCCGTCCACGTCATGATGATTTTAAGGATAAATGCTAACAATGGATTCAGTGAGGGTTTTGTGGGGAAACCAGGAAGGGACGAGACGTTTGTCAAAAGTAGCACAATGTCCTTGACGATAAAATGTAAATCTCAAGGTTGTGCCATGTCGAATGGTTCGTAAAAATACATAATTCATCCGCCTCTCTTCAGGACACGATTATATGTATTACACATTAAGAGCTGCTCTTCAAAGCTTCATCGCAAGGCAGTTGGTAATAAAACAAATGTTTTTTCTCCCTCTTTGTTTGCCTCTTTTTCCATTTTGCTGCTGCTCCTCAATCTCTCCGTCCAATTTTCAAGGATATTAGAACTCAATTTGGATGCAAGATGGCGTGTTTGCATTGCGTTTGAGGGTTTCAATTTGTAGCTTTCATTAACTGAAGAGGGGACACCACTTTGAAAGGAACGCTATCAAATTCCCGGGAATATTTACGACGTGCCGCTCAATGCTCGAAACATTTGGTACTGGTTTGTCGAGTAGGCCACTGAAAAGTCGACTCAAATGCGCACACTTGTGCATGAGATCGTATGCAAACGCGCACAAACTGAGCGCCTTCTGTTTTCATAAACAGATGAACAGCTAGTTTGTGTAAATGATGGAATAATGAAAATAGTTTTTCCCGTGTTGGGAAGGCGTCCAACTCTCTCTGGCAGCAGTTTAAAGACATTGTATGCTGTTGGGCTGATTAGAAATCCAACCATATGAGCGCGCGAGCTTCAGTCTTAACACAACAGATGTCATTCAGACATAAATCTATTTCAATCTGGCTTATTAAGACCATTATTTCCACAACTACAGTTTTACATATTCTGAAGCATATCTGAGTACATTTGCATGTGCAAAACTCAACGGCACGATGCTGTAGTTTATAGTTCCTTCTTTGTTTTTTTGTTTTTTACCTGTTTTCTTGTCCAGCAGGTGAAAATCATGCATCTGATCGCTTGAAATGCATGCATAAAAGTGATGCATTTAAGTCAGAATATACCGTAGTTGAAAGAAGCAAACTTCTCTCCTGATGACAGTGATGGAGTGCATCAAATGTTATATTAATATTCGCATTTATTAAAAATAAAATAAGCTGCACAGCCTCACCTGTTACGCAAAATAATATTTCTGAATTAGTAAAATGTCTCGGAGGAATACTTACTCAAGTGCAAATAATAAAACTCCGAAAGTTTCTTGTTTGGCGAGGCAAATGTAATGTGTTCGTGTGCTTAAAAGCATAATGACAGATTTTTCTAATAAGCATTTTTCTATAGACCTCCAGCGACATATGGTGATGGATGCCTGAGCGATCTAACCTAAAACACATCCCCCACAAACCCACAGAACGACAGACAAAGAAAGACATTTATCTGATTTCCATTCACTGTGTGTGTGTGTGTGTGTGTGTGTGTGTGTGGATGGGTGGGTGGGTTTATCAAAGACGATG